GGTGTTCTTAGAGCGTATGTGCTTCAACCTGTAAGGATTTGATTTACCTTTCTGGAAAATGGAAAGTATTCTAAACAAACCAACATTTTTTGATGGATACTGTCTTATCTCTTCTAATTTTGAATCTTGGGTTTTATTCGTGAGAAAATGTTAATGGGAGATAATTTTGACATTTTTTGTTCAATATCAGTAATCCCATATTCACATAATTTTGAGGCGACCAGCAGCATGCAGGATAATGTCATAGTGTAAGGGCCGCTCGACTTTCTGAACGCGGCTCCAGAATCGGTGGTATTTATCGGCCCCAGTCGTGACCCGGATGTCAAATGAGAACTGGGATATATACTAAGTGACATATAAATCCGAACACCCAGTTTAAATGGTTTTATTTTAATAAAATTTTGTATAAGTACTTACTACTTACTTACTACATTCACCAACTTTTATTAAAATAAAACCATTTAAACTGGGTGTTCGGATTTATATGTTACTTAGTATATAAGCACACAGTAGGTGATATAATCACATATGAATTACAAAAGTTGCAGTAAACATGGAAAAACCTTCAGCTAATCTGAAAAAATAGATTTTAGACAGACATCAAGCATTTTTAAAAATTTTGGCTCAGTTTTACATAATTTCGTAATATTTAATAAACTGAAAAGATTTCAATGGCAAGCTGTCACTTCATATTTTACAGTGTTTTATTTTGAATACTTTGGTGCTATTTGGTGCCAAAAATTTGACGGCGAGATCTTGAGGCTGATTGGGTATATTTAACGGACTGCTTGGTACTCATACCCTATTGGTGCAGAATAATGGTTTGTTAAATTGTGAAATCCACCCAAAAATAGCTAATGTCATTAGATGGATGTATCGAAATGTCAACAGCTGTCAAAATTTATGATCACCTCCCACAGAGCACAACTCAGCCCCCTGGCGGTGTCTGAGATTTCTTGAGCCACCGCGTATAAAAATCCTGCTCATGTTATTCTGTATACTGGCAACGTTTCTAGTTAGGACGTTTAATAATATACGTAATATATCCGAGGGGGTTCCATCGATTCCCTCGTATGCCCGTAGGTGATCCATAAGGGACGACCGAAGAATCGGTAATTTTTTATTTACATATTCTCAGACGATCGCCGAATACGTCCTTGCTGTTTTTTTCCTGTTTCCCTTATTCCCCAAGCATGTGTGCAGAAAAATTGTTTTCTCTTCAGTTTGACTAGTCATTTTGTTTGACAAAAATACGTTCTGTAAATATAAGCCTGTATCGGTTACCAATTTATGGACAGTCTTTGCGAATGAAAAGCTTACAATGGCTCTTCCGCCCAAGGTGTAAGACTTTTCGACATGGTAGATCTTCCTTTCGATAAGACATAAGTCAGAACCATGAAATAGCAAATAATCTAAAGAGAGCTTTTCTCCATTCAGCAGTATTACAGTAAATATATTCGATAAATGAGGCCGTAATCAAAGCATTCCGTGAAGAATAATTCTATTGTAATGCAAAAGTAAACGAAAACATGTAAATCAATGAATTGATGGAGATAGTGATGGAGGGACCGATTGTATATTTACATACTCGACATCATCGTGCTCGTATGGACGTAGAAATAATTGTTTTCTTATAGATATGTCAAACTAACCAACAGATTAAAAAATGTATACAGGGTGTAAATGTTATGGCAGTCATTATTAAAATGGCCAAAACAAGTCAAAAAGTCCATATGACCCACGGTCCAAAAGTCAATAGATTTTGTCTAAATGGCTTTATAGTTTACAACTTTAAGTGCCTTATATCGACCACAATCATCACAATCTTACTAATTCTTATAATCTAATCTAAAACGTTTTCAAATTGGGTAATTAACAAATAAATGACATTCAGTTTTTCTAAGTTAAGCCAAAATTTGTAATCAGTAAGTAAGTTTCATTAAATTAAATAGTTAAAATACACATGGCAACAGCGCGTCGGTCATTCATCACTCTTATCGAACCGGCAATCGATCGCAAACGTTACCAGTGGTTAGTTATTGTTCGCGTACGTCGTCGTGTTTATTTACAATGTTCTCGAATCAAGGGTTCGCGGACATGTTAGTTTATGGTGAAGCTCGTTAAATGGCTGATTTAAATAATGACTATCATAACGTTTACACCCTGTATATGGATTGAGAAAAACAAATTTTTGAAGAGAAATGGAAAAGTTCTATCTTGAAAAAATCTTGCTCGGGAAATTTCACTGCTTAAAGTCTAATTCATTAATTTGTTACGTCAAACCGTTTAAATCGACCAACCAGGCCAGAAAATTTAATAGTCCAGTCGAACTATGGAGTTTTGGAGATTGAACTTGCATAGCGTCATTAATTTATAAGTGAATAAGGCACGACAGTGATTGAATTCAATTATAAATTCCAGAAAAGAGGGAAGTTTGAAAAGAATGAAAGGTCAAAAATAAATTCCACCCGCAACATCATCACGTTCTTTGTATGTCCACCAATACAAATGTTTTTCCCTTTCGGCTATCATTTCAGATCTACTGTCATGAAGTAAAAAACAAACCTAAAAACTGTCGACTATAGATTCCCACAACATCAAGTTAACACATGAACACAACAATGTTTAATTTTAAAGGCCTTTTCACCTCGCGGTGGTTATTTTGAACTCATTGTTTTAAAAAAGGTACTCAACAATGTTATTTATATCTCTAGATGATTGGACGTTTCATTCGCCATCAAGAATATAATTTCATTCCAAAATGCATGTATATGATTTTCCATTCCCTCATTAGCATTTTATCACGTCCCCTTTGCAATTGCGGTCTAACGTTGATTCACAATTCTGGTGAATTTCTAAGTGGGTGGCGACATAAATATCACCAGTGACGTTCAAATTTAACCACGCAATAATTAACAATCTGTCTTGCTTGTTACTGCATAAAAACAATATTATTCATTCCACCCACCAGAACTGCATACGTACGAACCACTTGGTCATGAGCGTAGGGCTGTTTCTAACGGGTGATTTTTTAAGAGGTATAGGATTTGATTTTCAAAAAAAACACAAATAATTTGAAAAAACGATCAAATCTTTATTTGAGTCGATAGAACGGTCGATATAATTGAATGTTCAAAGATTATTTCATGTAAATGTTGGCCGCGGCTCCGCTTTAGATGGCCCATGCGCAAGGTCCAATTTTGGCACACTCTCACGAATAAATGCGTCAATATTGGCTTCCAGTGCGTCAATCGTTGCTGGTTTATCTCTGTAGACATTAGCCTTAACATGGCCCCACAAGAAATAGTCCAACGGCGTTAAATCACACGATCTAGGCGGCCAATTGACGTGTGACTGTTCATCGAGCTCGCCTCTCAATAGGGCCATTGTTTCGTGTGCGGTGTGGCATGTGGCACCATCTTGTTGAAACCACATGTCAGCCAAGTCCAGCTCTTCCATTTTGGACATAAAAAAATTTGTTGTCATCGCACGGTAGCGCTCGCCATTCACAGTTACGTTCCGGCAATTGTCGTCTTTGAAGATGTACGGCCCGATGATGCCACCGGCCCATAATCCACACCAAACAGTGATTTTTTCGGGATGCATTGGTAGCTCTTGCAATGCTTCTGGCTGGTCTTCACTCCAGATGTGGCAATTTTGCTTGTTAACGTACCCATTCAACCAGAAATGAGCTTCGTCTCTGAACACAATTTTTCGATAAAAATGTGGATCTTCCCCTAACTTTGCCAGCGCCCATTCACCAAATTGGAAACGTTGTGGGAGGTCGTGTGGCTTCAATTCTTGCACCAGCTGTATCTTATAAGGTTTTACACCCAAATCCTGTCGCAAAATTTTCCACGCAGTGGAATAACAGAGGCCCAATTGCTGCGAACGGCGGCGAATTGACATCACTAACACTGGCGGTTACAGCCGCAATATTTTCTTCAGTCCTCACTCTACGTCTGCGTGTTGGTGGTTTAATGTCCAATAATGTAAACTGGGTTCGAAATTTAGTCACAAGCTTCCGAATAGCTCCCTCAGTAGGCCGACCAAATTGCCCATAAATTGGAAGCAGTGCTCGATGCACTCTCTTAACCGAGCATGAATTTTGATAGTAAAATTCAATAATCTGCAAGCGTTGTTCGTTCGTAAGTCGATTCATGGTTAAATTATAGACCAAACTGAACAAGTTTGACAATGACACAAGACACGATTCACGTGTCATCTGTCAAAAACAGTGTTGCCAAAAAGATTCTAGCAAAAAAATCACCCATTAATTCAGGATTGCTGGTTTTTACTTGGAATTAGAAAATGTTGTCAGAAATATTTATGAACATATTTAGTAGGTAACAATATCAAAAAAGATTGCAAGGCACAGACTGTTTGAACTTGTTTATCTACAGGTTTAGTGACACTGTTATTTTCAATAAAATGCGAATTTAATTTCTTTCAAATCAATCTAGATATTGTATCAGATTTATGTCCATGTTTCGGGTATGACGCAGATGCTAATTTTCCATCCTGTCGCCAAGGCTACTAATTTAGTGTTCAGACGCAAATGGATAAATGAGATTTTTTAGCTAAGCCAGGTGATTTTTGAAGTATCTTTGTTGTAATATGGGCATTTGGGGCCCATCTTACACAAAGGAGAGCAGTGCGATGTGACTGTTTCCTACCGCTATGTCAACTTGATTCTACCTTGATGCTGCCACGCGCTGAACCTGTATGCCTGCCCCAGTGGTCGCTAACCTATTCAGTGTGTTGAGCTACTTTGATAATTTTGGAGTAAGTTGTCGTAAGCAATGTAAGCCAACTTAAATCAAATTATACACAGTTGTATATATACATACTACATAACTGCAACCTTTCCTACCAATCGTAGGACTGAAAAATAAACAAAACTTGTCGTCAGCTACATACCATTTAATAAACGTAACTTAAAATAAAAAAAGCAACGCACTATTCTAAACTAAACATGTCCAGATAAAAAATGCGGGTTCATTGAGAAGCCTAACACTCAGACTCACTGACATTTTTTTACGTTTTTCAGTTTCATTAACATTAGAGATTTCAAACATTAGATTAGCAATGTGTCTTCAAGCCCCCTATTGCAGCTCTGGTGCTACGGTATTTAAGCTTCAGCCTACATTTTGGTATACAAAAACTCAATTATCTTTTCATAATAACCATAAACAGATTGATGAATAATGGTATAGCTGTCGTCACCGTTTTTGGCGGGTGAAAGTAAGACTACCAGTATTCCTTTATATAACTCCCTCATATACACATGTGACCTACCTCGGTGTGTGAGCGTTTGTTCGGTAAGCTCAAAGGTATACGTTTTTTATTTGTGTATCTTCGTCTCGAAAAGATTGTTGTTCATTCGCCCTGTATAAGGGATAATTGACAATACGTCACATTTTTGCTCGTGAAAGTTTTCAAGTTTTTCAATAGAAAACCCGATTTAAAAACATGTAGGTCAAAGTATTGATCCCCCAGCGTCCCTGATGATGAATGGACCCAGCCAGAAGGGGAGAACAGAAATTACCAAGAAATCAAAGGAATTTATGACACCAGCTGTAGCAGACGAAAAGGACGGAACCATCCAGCGCCAGACCCTGATCATCGAAAGCCAGGCCCATCAAATAAAAGAGCTGACTGAGACCATGAAATCAAAGGAATTGATGACACCAGCTGTAGCAGACGAAAAGGACAGAACCATCCAGCGACAGACCCTGATCATCGAAAGCCAGGCCCATCAAATAAAGGAGCTGACTGAGACCATGAAATCAAAGGAATTGATGACACCAGCTGTAGCAGACGAAAAGGACAACCATCCAGCGACAGACCCTGATCATCGAAAGCCAGGCCCAGCAAATAAAGGAGCTGACTGATACCATGAAATCAAAAGAATTGATGACACCAGCTGTAGCAGACGAAAAGGACAACCATCCAGCGACAGACCCTGATCATCGAAAGCCAGGCCCAGCAAATAAAGGAGCTGACTGAGACAGTTAGGGTCCAAAACAGTAACAAAGACTGCCTGACCACCCAGGTAACACAGTTAACCAATAATGCAAATTTTAATTCTAAATCTGACAAGGCTGTCAATTCGAAAAGACCTCTTGAAAATTTAACTGACGTGACATCGACCGACGATGAAATACAGAATGACGGATTCATCCAGGCCAATTCTAGGGAAAGACGCATCGACAAAACGAACAAAACCGACAAGACGGATGACTTCCCACCTCTTCCAAAAGCAAAATCAAAATTCAAGTTGACAGTCCCCTCAAAACCTTCTGCTTCATTAAACGTATCAACTTCTTCTGCCACTTGTCCTATGACGGTCGATGCAGCGACCACATCTTCTCAATCTTTGGCCACTGCATCGACTGACGGTGCATTAACTCAACAATCTCACGTTGCTGGTGAGTTGAGCAGCACAGCACCCCGCCAGGGGCGAATCACGCCCATTGTTTTGCGTGATGCGATCAAGTGGCGACATCTAAACTACACCTTTATAAGCTTAGGCATTAAGATAGAACGCGCAGTTGCCGTTGATGCGGGAATCAGGATTTTGCCGAAAACTGAGGATGACTACCGAAGAATCGTTCGCCTGTTCAGAGAGGAGGACGTGCCCCATCATACGTTCCCTCTTCCTTCAGAACGAAATATTCACGCGGTAGTCAGAGGCATACCCGCAATGTTTTCGGAACAGGAGATCAAAGGGGAATTAGAACAGAGGGCATATACTCCTCTCCACATTATCCGACTAAAACACAGTGGCGACGTACCCATGCCTTTGGTGGTCGTGATATTGCCCAAGATTGAAAAGTCCCAGCAGCTGTTCAATGAACATGAGCTGCTGGGTCTAGCAATCAGAGTTGAAGTTCAAAAGAACTCTAGACTTATTGGGCAGTGTCACCGCTGCCAAAGGTATGATCATGCGCAGTCTTACTGCACAGCACCTCCCAAATGTTTAAAATGTGCTTCCGACCACATTTATGCCCCCTCACAGGACAAGAGGAGCGAAAGTGTGCGAACTGTGGAGGGGCGCATCCCGCTAACAGTCCCACTTGCAGATTCACCCCCAGGCGAAATCTGGAAGTCATAGCGCAAAGACGCAGCAAGTCATACGCGGAAGCAGCCGTCTCAACATCTTCGGCTGCAGCCTCTGTTCAACCCACTTTGAACACGCAGAATGTGGACCTAGCAACTGCGCTTAGGTCCCTTCAACAAATAATAAGTCCCCTGATTAGCTCCACTCAGGGATTGCAGGCAATCTTTCCGCAGTCCTTGAATGGCTAAGTACAATAGACAACCTGCATTTATCATCTGTCAGGTATCTTGGAGTCATCATTGACAAGGGATTGACCTGGCAGAAACACACTGATATTTTGAAAACAAAATTCCAAATTACCTTTCGGCAGCTTTATGCTCTGTTGTGCAGAAATTCAAAATTAAGTTTGATCAACAAGATTCGGTTGTACAAAATGGTCATAGACCCAAAATCACCTACGCATGCGCGGCTTGGTGTTTTCTTGCCAAGACGCACATGCAGAGACTGCAAGTCCTGCAAAACAGAACCCTACGCACAATTACTAACGCCCCTTGGTACGTGTCAAATGAGACTATTCACAGAGATCTTGATATCCTATATTTAAGGGATTACGTAAAACAACAGGCGCAGTGGCGTTATAATCAAGCGGAATCGCACAGCAACCCTCTGTTGCGTGATCCAGTAGACTGCACAGTCGAGCAAGTTCGCAAACATTCCAGGCCGCGCCTCGCACTATGATCAAAATTAAATTGTAAATTCAGACGAGCCAAAATTATTTCAGTATACAAAACCGATCAAAATAATTTTTTGGAGTTACAAAATAGTTCGAGTAGTCAAAGCAATAATGCTTAATCTATTTCAAATGATTAACTTCTTTTCTTTGCTCTATTTCTTCCTTCCTTTCTTTCCTTCTTTCCCTTTTCCCCTTAAACATGTTTGTTATCTGGGTAGCCAGACCTGACAGACTAACAGACCGACGAGACTTTTAACTAAGAGCAAAGGTCCACCGGACCGCTCTGACGAATAATGACGAATAGTAGTAAGATTGTTGTTACGTATGAGTGCCCTTCAATAATATTTGTCAACTTAATTGACATCGGGGTGCCGTTATCAATCTTCAATATAAAATTGTACAATGCTCTGAAATACGATCAAAGGAGAAGGCCGACAGCTCGCTTTAAATTTATTAGAGTATTTCGAGGAAGAGAATGAAAGCATAGGTCCCATATTACCCACTTCATGCGTACCAGAGAGAGTAGCAGAAATTAAGATCCACCTATGGTACGGAGACTCAATCTGTTTACTTATTTCATAAGGCGATGATGACGTAACCGCCATGAACGGTGGTGACTACAACTATAGCTATTAATGTATATAGGAGTTGATAATACCCGCGCCGTGAAGACGAACTGCGGGCTTTGACACTAGAAGAGATAGGAACGTCAGAGATATTGAGTATCATGATACTGAGCAACTATGGATCACCGTAAGCTTTAACCAGAAAAATTTTGCTGTAGGATCTTTATACCGACCCCCAGATTACCCCGTGAACCAATTTATAGATAATTTGGAAGTAACGTTGTCCACACTTGCTCCTAATCATGATTATATCTTATGTGCAGGAGACCTAAACATCGACCTTTTGGATGACAATTTTTGTAGTAGACAGCTACTAAACCTGGTAGACGTTTTGAATTTGAAGCAGATAGTTGAACAACCCACTAGACGTACACCTTAGTCCTCAAAGTTGCTAGATGTTATTATCTACACAGATGAACTGAACATCTCGGCTATCGATGCATTAGACTGCTCTATGATATCTGATCATGCCCTAGTTTCATGTGAGGTTACACTTTCAAAGAATACTTTTGTACCTTTTCTTTACACATATAGAGACTAGAGAAATATTTTAATTATGAGCTTTTTACAAATCACCTGAATAATGTTGACATGAGTCCAATATATCTGCTTAAGGATATAGATATGAAAGTGAATTATCTTAATGAACTACTGTTAAATATTTTCGATTTCCATGCTCCTATCAGAACAGTCCGCATATCTAGAAAAAGGTCACCTTGGCTTACCTATAATTTGAAACAAATGATGAAACTAAGAGATAAGGCACTAAGAAAGTATCATCGTACAAAGAATCACAATGATTGGTTAGGCTATAATACACTAAAGAACAAAATTAACCACGCGATTAACAAAGAAAAGCAAGTATATTTTGAGCAACAAGTTGCATTAAATAAAAACCGCATGTGGAAAGAACTCGGAAAATTGAATATATTTAATAAAAAACAGAATTCACTACACCTAGGAACTGCAAACCAAATCAATAACTTCTTCATGCAATCCATCTCGGGTGAATAATAACCTGATCAGCACACTCTTCGATTCTTCTCCGATACGCAACTCCCTCATGAAGCATTTGAGTTTTCGTACACTAATGACGATGAAGTATATCAAAAATTGCTTTTAGTGAAATCAACAGCCGTTGGTGCCGACGGTATAAGTATCAGCATGCTGCTGTACAGCTGTCCTACAATTTTACCATATCTCACGCATATTTTTAATTATTGTCTAAAATTCAATGTAATACCCAAAATTTGGAAGCTTGCACAAGTAATTCCCATACCAAAAAAGAGCAACCCTGAAGATGTGGGCGACCTTCGACCCATCAGCATCCTATGTACTCCATCAAAGGTCTTCGAAATGATTTTGGATGCTAGAATGAGGGACTTTGTTGCTAAAAATGACATTCTTCCAGAAAACCAATCAGGGTTCAGATCAGGTCACAGCTGCACAACAGCCTTGCTCAAAGTAACAGATGATATCCGCAAATACATTGATGATGGCAACCTATGCATCTTAATCTTATTAGATTTTTCGAAGGCTTTTGATAAGCTAAACCATGATCTACTGATTGCTGTTCTTCACTACTTGGGTTTTTCTAAAAGTGCGGTTCATTTATTAAGAAATTATCTCAAAGATCGGGCACAAGTTGTCAAATGCTTTGGTGAAACATCCGAATTGTCTAAAGTTTGTCGAGGTGTACCTCAAGGATCTGTTGTAGGTCCACTCTTGTACACTCTGTATACCTCTCAGCTGCACAAAAGTTTTAAACACGTCTCATATCACTATTACGCCGATGACACTCAATTATATATTGCTTTTAATGAACCAGATATAAACCGAACTTTAAGCAACATAAATGAGGACCTTCAGGTTCTTTATCAGCTAACAAAAAAATATTGTCTCTCCGTCAACGCCACTAAATCTAAGGCTCTACTATTTGGTAAAAACAAGAATCGTGAACTATACTCCAATAATTTAGATATTTATTTCGGACAAGACAAAATAACTTTTACAAACTCCGCTAAAAATTTAGGGGTTATTATGGATACAGATCTACGCTTTTCCCAGCATGTCTCTCTTATAACCAAAAGGGCATTTTCATCATTGAAAATGCTATGCAATAGCAGAAGCATAATAACCAAGACAACAAAAATAATATTGTGCGAGTCTTTAGTTCTTTCTCACCTCAGCTATGCAGACTGCGCGTACGGCCCGTCATTGCTACATCGAGATAAGGCGCGCCTTCAGCGTATTCAAAATTCTTGTGTCAGGTTTGTTAGTGGTATTAGAAGGCGGCAGCCGATATCTCTTCACTTAAAGAACTTAGGTTGGCTCAATATAGAGAAAAGAAGGTTCCTTCATCGATCCGTACTATACCACAAGATACTCAATACTGAATCACCATCCTATCTTTACAAGAAGATCAAGACCCGTACAGAAGTGCATAGTCGTAACACGAGGTTTAAACATCATCTCTCACTACCTAAATTTAAAACTTCAAATTATAAGTGCTCTTTTTCATATGACATTGTTAAGGTTTACAACTCGCTGCCTGATAGAATTAAAGCCCTATCAATTTTGAGATTTAAGCGAGAAGTGAAGACTATGTTGAGACTTGAGATGTCTTAAATTTAACACTGCACGCTGATTTGCCAATTATTATTCTGTATGTCTTTTTCGTACTATTCGTCATTTATTTGTCTGGGCGGTCCGTAGGACCTTTGCCCATTACTCACTGTCTGATGTACGTTATTCGAATCTGTCAGTCCTGGTTGCCCAGAAACCAGACAAAGTCAAGGAGTCTTTTTCGTTTGATCTTTGACATTTTCCCTTCATAAGATATTAGCTACAACTTCTAGCAATCTCATTCAAGCATCAACTCGTTTTATATTATAGGTTTTACCAAGGTGCCTGAAACAGTTATATGTCATCTATGGATGTATATTATAATATATAGTTTTAAAACATATGTCTATATGTATGTGTGTTAACGTTTAAATTTTCTCTTGCTGTTATCATTATTACTGATATACTACTTTATTTTTATTTTTTTTTTGGTTAGGTGGAAGAGCGCGGATTGACAACTAATGCTTGTCAATCAAGCGAACCTTGCCGTTTGCTCACTGCATCAGATTTATGTACTTTTCTTTTTCTGTACTTACATGAGCAATAAAAGCAATTTATTATTATTATTATTATTATTAGATACACGCACAATTTTTTCCACTACTCATTAGCAGCAATGAACCCTTAGGATGAGGCCTGCACTATCTAACCTAAGGCATTAGCCATTTATCAAAGCGCATTACCAGAGGTTTCTACCAAACCAGACTCGCCTTTGACCGCATGCACAATTAGCACGTGCCTGAAGCTCCGGCCTGATGAAGAAAAGCCTCCAGCTACTCAAAAGTCAAAAGAATTTCAAAAAAATGTTGAAGTACCCTCCCCTGTTCAATTTATGCAGGACTTAAGACGTTCCTGGAAGCAGTTATTCGAAAATCACAAAAAAAACAACCATGGAATTGACAAAGGAATCACACCTTGGATTCTTGCTTCAATTGCCGGATACACTCTAATAATTTTGGTTAGGGTTTATTACGATCTGCCAATCCGCGAATTGCAAATCTTAACAGAAATAGTCAAATACTATAACATAAGGTGTACATGGGGAGATGCGGAGATGTATGGATATCCGT